GAAATGTATGCAAAAGAAGGGAAGAATTCGATGCAGAAAAATGAGAGAAAACCTCTCTATTTATAGCCAACAAAGGGTAAAGGTCACAACCCTTTGAAAAGAAGACAACCTTTCAGAAAGGTCACAACACTTTGGAAAAGGCACAACCTTTCAAATGGTCACAACCCTTTAGAAAGGACACAACCTTTCATAAAGGTCATAACCCTTCAGGAGTCACAACTCTTCATTTCCTGTTCACACCTTTAAAACCCAACACCTACTATAACACACTTGTAGACAAACCAACCCGTAACTCCGGAACTACAAGTAATGGGATTTATGGCAGAAAACTAAACTCAAACTAAAACAGAAACATAAATAACAGGAATCATATATGAAGAAGTGGAAGCAAGCCTAAATATATATACAAGTATAAAATCCCTCCAAGACCCTGGAAGTCACATGTACAGAGCTACTAACAAAATGAGTAAATGTCCCAAAAGTGGACCACAGAAACAAGATTGTGTCAAAAAGCAAAATACAAGTCAATGTATATAGATGGAGACTGGTATAGCACAAAACTCCAAGTGCTCACCCCCGTCTACGTATCAGATTGTTGCAGACTCGATGTCAATGCTGGTAGCTGGTGCTCGGTCCTGCATCATGAAAACAAATGCAGAGTGTAGAATGAGTACCAAAACAACAGGTACCCAGTAGGCCTCATAGGCTGATTGAGCAAGAAAAGCAAAAGTAATATGAAATGCGAGAATCTAAAACACTAACATAAATAGGAACGAGAAATCTAACAGGTATGCACATGAGTGTACTAACACACAAAGATAAGGAGAATAACAAACTAAATCCGACCGAGCTCCCATAAACCTGGCGGGTACACTCGTGTACAAGCTAAAAGTAAAAATCGAGCGGACTCCCATAAGCCCGACAGGTACAAGGAGAGTTTAGAATGGAATAAGAGGATCTGATGAAGTTTCCCAGATTTCCACAACTTTTCGTGGACTCGAACCGAACGAATCCATATGTTTGAAGCTCATCCAGGACTGAAAGGGGTTAAGGACATTAACTGAATTGAAGATGGAGGATCAAGGACTTAAACCGAGATTTGGAGTAACCAAGGACTTGAACCAAGGCTAAGGATAATCGTGGACTTTAACCACGTATAAATATGACCAAGGACTTGAACCGAGGTGAGAGTAGATATGGACTTGAACCAAACTGTAAAGAGCAGTAGACTTGATGTTGGAAAACTATATGCAAAGCGGAAGCATACCAAAATCTTACTGCTTACATGAATAATAGATAATCAATAATGTTTATGCTAGAACACACATAATCATGCTAGAACACATATACTTATTGGAATTTAATTCAAGAATTACCTTTTGAAGCGTTAGCAGATACCTTCAAATGAATACACATATTAGATAGACCTTCAAGCAAATCTACAAGATAAACAACACCTTTGAAGTCTTCTACAATGATCCCAAGTTCACATCTAAACCCTCTCAATACTTGGGTGGGCAAGCATGAATAGAAAACATTCAGTCTTTTTTTTATGTTAGGAGAATCCCTACTCATAGTGATTTCCTCCCTATCCAAAAAAGGAGAAGAAAACCAGTTTTCTTGAAAAACAAGAAATACACTTTTCTTTCCCTTTTTCCTAAGAAAATAGGATTATGAGTTCTAGTTAAATATGGGCATCGTAGGTACCACAATATTAGTTGTTGAGGCTTCCTACTATAGAAATAATTCCAATTAATTAATTTGAATTATTCTTACCATAATAAATTACAAATCATTCCAATAGAAATTTGTAATTGTACTCTTCTATTTATATTTCGAATTTTCTCATTAAACACTTATGTAATTCCCCATGTTAAGATTACATATAATAATCAATAAAATAAATTACTGACAAATTTAATTCAATGATTATTTTCTTTAGAACACTACTTAACTTATTTCATTTGTCGGATTCATAAATTCACTTGTAAGGTTTGACACGATGAAAACTTATAAGCTTCTCAAAAAGGCATATCATTAATCTCTATATCGAGACATGAATTCCGTCAACTAACTTATTATTTTACCAATATATATTATTATCATCCAATCTACCAGACATATTGACCAATTCTCAGAATCTTGACTTTTAATAAATCAAAACGATAATTAATATATATACATATCATAATAGTTATATCAGGATTGAGAATATAAGCCCATTTAACAGTTTAGAAAATATGCTTTTGTTGGTCAGTCTAAAAAAACTATTTCTACTCGGTCCCGTTCAATACATACAAAATGCACTAGCACAAGAAGTTGGAACTATACCGTTCCCATAATAAAGTTAAATTATATATAATCTTGTGCTATAATCGTACCTATGGCATGCCTAACTTCCATCTTAGATTGTGAATAAAAAACTTTATACTTACAAGAACCGATGATTTAATCTTCTGTGTATAAGCTAAAATGTTATACACTAGATTATATACTTTATAAGTAATCAGACAACATAAACAAATATATGATCTATTAAAACTGAACAAATAATTATTCGATAATAAATATTATATCTAACCATTTGGTTAATAGTATATATCCCAACAATCTTCCACTTAAACTTTTAACCATCACGATTATTATAATGCACTATATCTAAAAGCATGGTTAATAATATATACCCTAACAATATCCCACTTAGATATTTAATCTAGAAAATTGTTAGTTCACTATTTCTACACACATGATTAATAGTATATACCCTAACAATCTTCCACTTAGACTCTTAAATATGCAATATGCATTTACAACTTTCACAGATATTCCTTTTATTCTTATTGAGAGAATGTTACCAAGTTGTTTTGTCACACAATTTCGTCAAGTAGTGCTTCGTTGTAACAAATCAATTTTGTACTAGATCTAGAGTGACCTTATCATGAAACTCAACAAGATTGTACTTCTTTTCATGAGTTCTATCATGAAATTTCTCTCACACATACAAAACAAATCAATCTTTGTTATGATTCTTCCACTACGACTAAGCAGTACTACATAATCACACTTTCATGTTCTTGAGTCTTAATATTTTCTTCAAGATCTCTCGATATTGAAATATTAACAACTTTTCATGTAGTGTTCTTTAATTTTCTCAACATCACTCCCACTACTTGAGGTAATAGTTTTCTTATGTCTAGTAACGTTTCTCCCACTACTTAAATGCATTGGAACGTTACATACCGATTATATGTTCTTTAGCGTCTGAATTGGAAATTGACTTATTTGTTATTTCTTTGTTCAGTTCCCATAAAACAAATTTACTTCTAGGAATATGGTTTACTAAATGATCCTTTTCAAGAAATGCGGCAGTTGTATTAACAATTGCCTTATTTTCTTTAGGACAGTAGAATAAACTTTCTTTCATTCTTTAGTATATCCAATTAACACACACATTCCTTTCTGAATTACAATTTTCTTATTCTCCCTCTCAAAACATGTGCTGGACAATCCTATATTTGAGCATATCAGAAATTAGACTTACGCCAAATCCAACTAGTTCTATAGTTATCCAATGTACTAATTTGAAAGTAATGAAATTCAGAATGTGATATGTAATTCTTACAAAATATCCCAAAAGAAGCAAAACAACTATGAATAAGTCAATCACTAATCTTATCATCTTCATAAGAGTGTCAAGCCCCGAGCCTATAAACTAGATGTGGGTGGCACTCCAGAACCATTTCTGATCTCCAAGTGAACCCTTGGCCTCGATGACTATTTAGTGGAAGACTTACTTAAGCATAAAGAAGCTTTAAAAATAGAATTTAGTACATTAAAACTCAAATAAATACTTAACTCAACTTTCTAAAAATACTTAAGTGCAATAATAATAATAATAATAATACTTCGCAAAAAAAAGGGTATGCTAGTCGAGGCAAGCTAACGTGCACTGATAATGGCAAGGAGAAGGAATACAGCCACTAACATGGAAACAATGGTTACACCAGCTTCAGGAGTGCGACAGACTCTTTCTCCCCTGACTTGTGGGAGCTACCTCCCAGGTCAGTTTAGGTCGATACAGGAGGAGGAGGAGGAACAGGAAGATGAAAATGCAGATGAATGTAACAGTGTTCGACCGGACTATGGGAAGAAACCTGTAAGTGAAACATCCATCCCTCGAAGATTACAGTTCTCTGAAATTAGTGCTTATACGAGCTCCAAGCTGGAAGCTCAGATCTCAGAAAACTCAAATAGGGCTACGGGGAAGGGGCTTACATTGGCATATGAACCTCCACAGATGGGAAAATTGTGGTTAAGTTGACCACTGAAGATATAAAGGCGACTGATAGTTATTGGTCCACATCACTTTTTGGTTATGTACTGGGTGATACTCCAAATGAGAAATCTATGGATAAGTATGTGACTGTTATGTGGAATTTTGTGAAGAAGCCCCAAATTCATTACCATACTGATGGATACTGTATTTTTCGATTTGCGTCGATAGAGAAAAAAACTGAGGTAGTCCAGGCAGGACCTTATACCTACCACAATAATCCTTTCATATTGAAGCCTTGGGTGGTAGATTTTGTATTTGATACAGAGTCCATTACTACGGTACCGCTGTGGGTGAATTTTCCAGGTTTACCAGTAGGGTTTTGGTCGGCTGAAGCTCTGAGCAAAGTGGCGAGTGCTATTGGAAAGCTGTTATACACGGATAAGTATACTGCTGATATGAATCGTATTTCCTATGCGCGAGTTTTGGTGGAGGTAGACATTTCTTATCCCCTGATAGACTCGATTGTCATAGAAACTCATTTTGGCACTACCCAGCAAACTGTAGATTATGATTGGAGGCCAAAATTTTGCAATGATTGTTTTCGGTTTGGGCATAACACTGAGGAGTGCTGGATGAATCACAAAGGGGAGAAGGGGGAAAATCAACAAGGACAAGAAGAAGGGGAATTCAAGGCACCCCTTAGAAGGAGGAGAAGGGGAAGAAGAAGGAGGAAAATTGTTCAAGAATGGCAGATCAGACCAGTAGGAGCTGAACCCCCAGTAGGGAGTACTAAGGACCATGAGAATAATGAGGAACCTGGAGATCCAAATATAGTAGAAGCACCTATAAAGACTATACACATTGGTATGAATCCAGTGGTTAGTCTAAGCAACATGTTTGAATCTCTATCTAGGAATGTTGATGTATCGAGTAGACCACCAGAACATGAGTCTGCTGAAACATCTAAACCACCATGAAAGTGAGTACATGGAATGTGAGAATCAGCCCTACAAACAGAAAGAGGTGTTACTCTTTCTGAGGAAGAACAAAATTAGTTTGTTTGGTTGTTTAGAAACAAGAATAAAGGAAGGGAAAGCCAAGAAAGTCTTGTTGAAATTTGATAAGGAATGGAATCATTTTTGCAATTATCCACATGGTGTAAATGGAAGAAACATGTTACTGTACAAGTCGTTCATGTGCATGAACAATTTGTCCATTGTAAGGTGGAAGACTTAGCCATTAGTTTTTCAGCTGAAATCACAGTGGTGTATGCAAAAAGTGAATTAAGTCGGAGAACAGAGTTATGGAATGAACTGCAAAATATTGGTGCAAATGTGCAGGGTGTTTGGTTGATTAGTGGTGATTTTAATAATATTCTTAATGCACAAGGAAGAATTGGACAACCAGTTACAGGAGCAGAAGTACAGGGGTTCAAGGATATGATTGATAATCTACAACTTACTCCACTTAGATCAAAAGGGTGCTTCTATACATGGTGCAATAAGCAACAGGGGAATAATAGGGTGTACAACAAAATTGATTGGGTCTTTGGTAACTTCGAATGGCTGCAGCAGAATGGACATGTTGAAGCTGAATATATGCAACCAGGAGTATCAGATCATTCTCCTGTTGTGGTTCATTGCAGGCAACAAATTAACTTGCATCCTAAGCCATTTAGATTATATGTAACTGTCATGGAACATCCCAGTTTCAAGGGGCTAGTACAACAAGTCTGGCAAAGGCAAAGAAGAGGACAGGCAATGGAGATTCTATGGGAGAAATTGAAACAATTAAAAGGGGAATTGAAGGGTATAAATGCATACATGGCTTATTATGCTAAACAACTATACCAGGCAAGACAACAACTAGAGAGAGCGCAAGGCCAGATCTCTATGCAAATATTTGATCAAGCTTTATTTGACCAGGAAAAGGTTTAGCTAGTAGAAATTCAGAAGTGGAGTATAATAGAGGAGAAAGTCTGGAGACAAAAGTCTAGAGCTTGCTGGATTGATAGTGGAGATGCCATGACAAGGGTATTTTCATGCACAGATGAAGATTAGAAATGCTCATAATGCCATTTCCTCTATTTACACTGAAAATGGGATTAAGTTAAATGAACCAAAGAAGGTTGAAAGAGAATTTGTAGCCTTTTTCACCTCACTAATGGGTGATAGTACAAAAGAATTGCCTTGTCCTAACTCTATGGTGATCAAGAAAGGGCCTTGCCTTAACAGGGACCAGCAACTAATGCTGATAGAAAAGGTTACAAAAGTAGAGATAGATCAAGCAATAAAAAGTATGCCACATGACAAAAGTCCTGGGGTAGATGGTACCCTATAGAATTCTTTACTAGTAATTGGGAAATGGTTAAGGAGGGAGCGTATGATGCTGTGCAACAATTCTTTTCAGAAGGGAAGATGATGAAGGCTTGGAACTGTACTGCGGTTACACTGATCCCTAAGGTGCAATCACCTACTACGGTGAAAGATTTTAGACCTATAGCATGTTGTTCATCCATTTATAAGTTAGTTGCCAAAATACTAACCAATAGGCTGAAGAAGGTGTTAAATGGATTGATTGGAAGATCACAGTCTGTATTTATTGAAGGAAGGAGCATATCAGATAACATCTTACTGAATCATGAGCTTTTCAAGGGTTACACTAGGAAATGGATATCTCCTAGGTGTGTGTTAAAGGTGGATATCAGGAAAACTTATGACACACTTGAATGGCAATTTCTGAGAACTATGCTCACTGACCTGGGGTTCCCTTACAAGTTCGTTAACTGGGTAATGGAATGTGTGACAACTGTGTCCTACTCATTGATGATGTTTGGAGGATTAACAAAGCCTTTCCAAGCTAGAAGAGGTTTAAGGCAAGGGGATCCCATGTCCCCTTACCTATTTGTTATTGCCATGGAATACCTTCATAGGGAAATGATGCAACTAGGTATGAATAAACAGTTCCACTTCCACCTCAGATGCAAAAGATTTGGACTGATCCATATGTGTTTTGCTGATGATTTGTTAATGTTCTGCAGGGCTGATATGAATTCAATTTTATTATTGCAAGAAACATTGGATAAATTTTCATGTGCTTCTGGACTAAAGGCTAATTTTGAGAAGAGCTCTATTTACATACCAGGTACTAACCAAAGCATCAGCTTAGACATAATACAAAAGCTAGGGTATTTGGAGGGAAGGCTCCCTTTCAAGTATCTTGGGGTCCCTTTGTCCACAAAAAAGTTGTCTGTATCACAATGCTTACCTTTAGTAGAGAAGTTACTGCTAAACTTCATTGCTGGTCTGCTAAACTGTTATCATATGCTGGAAGGTTACAACTTATAAAATCAATCCTTTTTGGAATGCAAAGCTATTGGGCACAAGTCTTTGTTTTTCCAAAAAAAGTGGTTAAAATGTTAGAATCAGTGTGTAGAACATATCTCTGGACAGGCCAAGGTACAATTTCAAAGAAGTAACTAGTAGCTTGGGACATAATTTGTCAACCAGGTTCTGCTGGAGGCTTAAATATTATTGATTTAAAACTATGGAACAAAGCTGCTATTCTGAAACATCTATGGGCATTATCTATGAAGAAAGACATTATGTGGATCAGATGGGTGTATTATTATTATATCAAGCAGAATAATTTAGAGCTGATGATCAGTCCTAGTAATGCAGCCTGGGTTGTCAAGAAGATTATTGACAGTCGGCAAAGTCTTATGACACAACATTTCTTCCAAGGTTCTATTCACCAGACTTTGGCAAGAATGGTGTAGGGTGACAAGTTCAAAATACAGAAAGCTTACGTAGCTATGCAGCCCCAGTTGCCTAAAGCTTCATGGAAGAGCATCACTCTCCATAAAGCCATACATCCAAGATTCAAATTCATCATATGGCTTGCAGTACAACAGAGATTGGCAACAGTGGATAGACTCCAAAAGATTGGAATTCAAGTTCCAATGTTATGCATTTTTTGTGATTAAGAGGTGGAATCTTTTGAACATTTGTTTTCCAGGTGTGTCTATAGTAATCAAATCTGGACAAGAATGCTTAAATGGATGGGAAATTACAGAAGTATTGGTCCATGGCAACATGAAATAGAATGGGTGAGTCGAATAGCAAAGAAGAAAACTGCTCAAGCTGAAGCTATATGTTGTACCTTTGCTATGGTTATTTACAACATCTGGAAAGACAGAAACACTCTGAGGTTCAAGAGGGGACAAGTAGAAGTTTCGCATACATGTAAAGACATTGATATGCACCTGCACATTCAAGGAAGAAACAAGGCATCCTAGCAGACTATGTTGAGCTCTTTGAATCACTTCCCTTAGGAATAGCCTTCTGATTGTTTATTTTCTTTGTTTGTAAGAAGTTAACTAGTTAGATTAGTTTACTGATAGCTAAGAGGTGGTAGATGGTCAACTTCTATCCGGCATTGTAATTTGACACTTTTTGATTAATAAAGTAATCTGTTAATAAAAAAAAAATACTTTGCAAAACAATATCAAAATGTCTGAAACAAAGGGAAATACTGAGAGACTGATCAACAATAACTATTTATGAAGCCTCTAATACTAGGATAGAAGTTGGGACAAAACCACGACAACTCAACAATAACATGAAAGTAAATTGTGAAATCTTCCGGAAAGAAAAGAGGCTCACCAAAGTTGACTAAAGCGCAATGTGATCTCAAAGAAACGCGTGTTGATGATCCTGAACACAAGTATCTGCATCATAAAAGATTTAGGTTGAATGACATCAATACATTGAGTGTACGAGTATGTAATATAGCTGAATAGCAAAAAACTAAATGAAATGGTTGCAACAGATGTAGATATATACTCGACTTAATGTAAATAAATAAGGAAGTGAAATCACTAATACTTTACAAAAAATACTTTCTCATTCTCCGAACATTAACATAATAAGTGATATATAAAAATACATTTTAACTCTATTGGGAGATTCTCTAACTGACAACCATCATTATGAGCTAAGTGATGATACAACGTCTTGTCGACGCTGCCAAAACTGTCCTAGATAGATCCAAGATATAGAACACCTCAACTAAGTGGATCCACTACGCTATGCCTATCGCGCTCCATTTTTTTAGCAAAAACGAACTTTCGACCTAACGAATTAAGGCGCGTTAGGGCACCTATCTAACCTAACTAAATCTAACTAAGGTCAACCAACTAGAGATCGGGTAAGGGTTCAAATTACCTTGAGGGGAAGGTGTTAGACATCCCTCGAGGTCCACAAATGTGGGTCCCGGCCGTATCTCATGCAATATGTGGGGGTTACAAGTAGCAAGTATGGTCACGTCATTTATTATTTAGTTAGTTAAACATGCGAACTAAGTGATATAATAAATATAACATTAAGCAAATACGATTACTTCAGTTATTTAGGTTAATCAATTGAGCATGCAAAACTAGGTGATAACATAATATTAAGCAATTCAGGGCACTTTAGTTATTTTAATTAATTAGTTAAGGATGCAAGACTAAGTGATAATATAATATTTAACAATTAAGGGCACTTTAGTTATTTTAATTAATTAGTTAAGCATACAAGGCTAAATGATAACATAATATTAAACATGAAACAATTATAGAGGATAAGCGAGAAGACAAAATATACACCAATAGATAAGCAAATAATTTATATATTTTATTTAAGCTACCCCAAACAATTATAATTATAAACAAATAAAGGGACAAAAGGAAAGGGAGACTTTGAAGGACTTTACGGATCAACACTCGACTTTTCTTTATTTTTTCGTATAGGCTTCCGTGTAGAGACAGACAAAACCAAGGTTTGTCGCTTTAAGCCTGAGTCGATGTCATCATCTCCGTAGGGCCTAAACTACCCCTACCCGACCACCATATGCTTTTCGTCTCTAAAAGGTGCTTAACGTCCCCGCTTAAGGTCCAAGAGGCATTGGACTACTATTAAGAGGTTTTAGACTAAAAATAAAATAAGGGTTCCTAATATGCCCACTTAGACACCAAGTCAAACAATTTGGACGAGCATTTAGCACATAGGGTCCCATATTAGCCTCTAAATTTAATATAGATGCTTTCAAACATACATCATTACTGAAAGGTCTCATGCTTAAGTGTGTGCACATAAACACATTTAACAATTATTAAAATATCAATTAGAGAGGGCAGACAATTACGACATACTACAGGTAGCAATCAAGCAACTAAATTGATTTTTTAGGGTGACAGAAAAATTAAAGAAGTTTGGTTTATTAGCTTATGTTAATCAGGGCAGCAATTATGAAAGTTATAATGCAAGTTAATATTTAAAACTGAACTCAACTTCATCTGGAAATTTATTTAATATTGGACAGACTTTAAAGTTAAAACACGAAGGGGCTGCTTTATTTCTTTTATTCTTCAATAGCAGAAAAATATCATAAAATTATTTAACAGTGGCAGAAAATGTGCACAAACAGATGTAATTCAATTATTTGACATGTTGAAAAGTAATTGGTTTAATTTAAGTAACCAGAAAAATAATTATATTGCAGAGTTTGCTTAACAGTGAGTAGAAATTATGTAGCATAATTATTTCAGTTATTTAACATACTGAAAATTATTAGAGTATGATTTATACAAGCTGCATTATTTATTAACACTGATGTTATTAGTTAGATCCTATAGACATGATTTCTAAGCGAATATGTTGAAATTAAATACTGAACCTATAGGCATACTTTCTATATGAAGATGTAACAATATTCAGAAATCTATAGGCATGATTGTCTAAACCCCAAGTAACATGTGAAGTAAGAATAATCCTTATGACCATGATTTCTAAGTAGAACATACTGAAAAATATTATACCATTCAGACAAAACCTAAAGGCATGAACTCTAGGTGATCTGACTTTATTCACATGAAGCGACTATTAACAAAAAACTGGTTGAATGAATTGATTATTTCACATGCTGGAAATAGATTAGATTTATTTTCTAACAAATTGCAAATTGACCTTCTAAACATACAAGTAGATAAGACCTTACGAGTTTAATTTATTTATATGCAGAGGGCAATAGACTCAAATTAATTAGCCTACTGATTTTCAACAACGAAGTACATATTCAGATTTTTTAAAAAATGGATTCAATAATAGATTAATTCATTTTATGTGGATGATTTATTTTAAGGAATGCTCGCATGCTTCAAGTGACACAGTCAAATTTTATAGCAAAACACATATGAATAGGATTAAGTAAATAAATAAACATTTAGCACATAATTCCCCTCCCCCTTTAGACGGTCCCCCAAATTTATTTCATAGATATAGAGAGTTAGAATTATTACAAACCGAAAAAATGAGATATAAATACAAAGCACAAATTCAAAATATAAAGCAGGGTCGTCATGTCTGGAACCCCATCCCATGGCAACTCTTCAACACTTGAACTTATAAGTTCAAAACCTGTTAAACTAAAAGAAACAACATTCCACAAATATAACCAGTAAATATAGCATAAATTTCACATAACAACACAAGTTAAATCAAAGACGGGCCAACGCATACAACATCAGCGAGCAGCAAATGGTATACGCACAGAAAAGATAGAGGGACTGATCCGGATGCTTCCATTATCATTACAAACTTATATAAATGTATGGATGCAAAATAATATAAACGCTACAAGTGAATACTAACCAGTTAAGCAGACAAGAAATATCAACAATGAAGATCCCTTAATCCAACTTTTGACCCGTATACAACAAAATAGCAAGTATAGAGGAGCTTTAATGTTTACCGGAAAAAACTTAATACTATTTTAAAGAGTAGAGAGCAATGTTTTTTAGTATTCAAGTATGAGCAAAGTCAAGACGTCTGAGTGTGATTGTTAATGGTGTTAAAACCGTGGGTCAGTGATGCAAAAAGTGGTCTCATTTATATAGCAAAGAGGAGCATGTAATAGCGAATACAATAAATTAAGAACAATTTTGAAAAAAATTATTTCCTTAACCAAGAAATATAATCAGCAAAATTATTTACCTTAACCGGGAGCCTTTACCAAAAATAAACAAGTAGACATCAATATACACTATAATTAAGGTAAAGAAATCAATCAATATTAGTCAAATAAACATGTAAAATCAACCAACATTTTTTACAAACCACCGAATATATATTTACCATATAAGATCTGTCTACCCTTTAACAAAGGCAAGAAAGATTGATTAGCAACAAACCATAAATTAGACAATATATAATATCAAGCAAGGGAATAGTTATTTAAGGGAAGAGAACAATTCGGATCCAAATCATCTACCACAATATATTCTTTCATATACTAAGTTAGCACAAACTTTTATTTTATTTTATTTTTTTCAAAGAAGGAGGTGATTCTAAATAGTAAATGAAATCAACCTAATAATAGAAAATTTCTCAATACTAATTAAGGAGAAATCAATTAGAATTGAGGAAATTCACATCAAGACATATCAGTTCTAATAATATCAAAATCAAGGACATAATAATGTTAGCTGATAACTAAAAGAAATATTGACATTCTAAATCAAACTTGGATAAAATTTCAGCAAAGTTAGAACAATACGCATTCGAAAAATCCGATCATCACAAAAAAGAGCATGCTCAACATCAGAAAATAATAGGTAGTTCAAGTTTTAACACACAAATGATTTTCATTTACATAAAGCAAGCATACAAAATCAAAATGAAAATTTCCATAATGAAACTAGAAAAATTTATTTTAAGAGTGAGGTATTAATTAAAAGAACGTACCTGGATGGATCGGTTAAGATCCGTCATCACAAAAATTCTGAAACCTCAGATCTTTTCCAGAAAAATAGAGCGGAGAAGAGAGGGGCTCGTCGGAGTTCATCATTGTTGTTGTGGGGCTGCTGTTTGTTGTTCACCCTTGCAGGAAAACGAGGAGAGCGACGCTGGCGTTGGGATTATGCCCCCTGGCTGCCTTTGCTGGGCGCTGCTGCTGCTCGCTGGTTCGGAGTTGTTGGTGGTTGTTGTTTCAGGCAACTGTCCTCACCGGTGGTGCTCGCCTCTTGGAGCTGCTGGTTGGACAGCAGCCTTCGCTGCTTGCTTAATCCGGAAAATGAGAGTGAGGAGGGGGAGGAAGAGAGGAAAAGGAGAAGGGAGAGAGAAGGTCTGCCTCCGATGGCCTTCGCCTGGAAAATGGGAAGGAGGAGGGAGGTGCGGTACTTAAAGAGAGTTGAGAGGAAGAGGATGAATGAAAGTTTTTAGGGTTTTGGTCTTTTAGATATTAAAATAGGTAGATTAAGGAGATTCGATCTGAATCGTAGGATTAGTTTGGATGAGCGGCTAGGATTTAATTTAAAGATGGACGGACGAGATTAAAATGAATGGGTCTTGAGAGTTGAATTGGAATGACCACAATTGAAATAAAAAATGGCTAGAATTGAAATGAGAGGTGGCTATAATTGAAATAAAAATTGGAATTGAGGAGGCTGTGATTGAAAGAAATTAGAATAGAATAGGCTAACATTTAAACAATTTTGAGGAAAATTAAAGAAATGCTATTCAATTAAAATACTACAAATATTATAATATTTTTTATATATAATTAAAGTCACTTAAATTCTTAAGACATTTCAATTATTTTGAGTTTTACTAATAATTTTAAAATATTTTAATAGTATTTATACTAATTTTTATACAGCATGCATATTAAATATATCATTTTTTAGAAAAAAAT